TCTCAGTTTTAAAAATGGACCTGGGGGAGGGGAGACGCCGACACCATGGTGCAGTAGGTTCATCCTCCGCCTGAAGTGCTGGCATCCATATGGGCGCTGGTTCGAGTCCCGGCTGCTCCACTTCCAATCCAGCTCTCTGCTGTGGCCTGGAAAAGCAGTAGACGATGGCCCAAGTCCTTGGACCCCTGCACCCGCGTGGGAGACCTGGAGGAAGCTCCTGGCTCCTGGCTTTGGGTTGGCCCAGCTCTGGCCGTTTTTGTAACCATTTGAGAAGTGAATCATCAGATGGAAGATCTCTCTCTCTCTCTCTCTCTCTCTCTCTCTCTCTCCTTCTGCCTCTCTGTAACTCTGCCTTTCAAATAAATAAATATTTTTAAATAATAAAAACAGTTCCTCAGAGTTCCACTTGTTGAACCGTGCCGCGGAAAGGGAGCCGAGAGCTCAGACAGGTGAGGCTCCCACAGCTCCCACATCTCTGCCGTCTGACCAAGGGAAGATTCTGCTAGGACAGGGGTCCTTGCCTAGGTTGCAGGTACTTTTCAAGACATTAATTGGGTTGGGGCCAGCGTTTGGCGCAATGGCTAAGCTGCCGCTTGGGGGCGCTCACATCCCGCCTTCCATTCCAGCTTCCTGCTAAAGCGCGCCCTGGGAGGCAGCCGGCGATGGCTCAAGGGCCTGGGTCTCCGCCACCCACGAGGGAGACCGGGTTGGAATTCTCGGCCTAGGCCTCGCTGATGGGGCCACTGGGGAGTGAGCCCCAGATGGAAGGACTCTTTGTCCCTCCCTTTCTCGTCTTTCTGTCACTCTCCCTTTCAAATACATATTTTTTTAAAAAAATCTATTAGGTTAATCTATCAAGAAGGAACATCGCCATTTGTACACTACTTGATAAAATCTTATCACAGAAGGGACTGAAATCTTTAGGGAAAAATGATTGTTTTCCCATGTTCTCTTTTTTTAATTTTTTTATTTTTATTTTTTATTTTTTTGACAGGCAGAGTTAGACAGTGAGAGAGAGAGACAGAGAGCAAGGTCTTCCTTCCGTTGATTCACCCCCCAAGTGATGCGTTGCGCTGATCCGAAGCCAGGAGCTAGGTACTTCTCCTGGTCTCCCATGGGGTGCAGGGCCCAAGCACCTGGGCCATCCTCCACTGCACTCCCGGGCCATAGCAGAGAGCTGGCCTGGAAGAGGGGCAACCGGGACAGAATCCGGTGCCCCAACCGGGACTAGAACCCGGGATGCTGGCACCGCAGGCGGAGGATTAGCCTAGTGAGCCGCGGCGCCGGCCCCATGATCTCTTTCACTGAGTCTCATTTCTACAACCTGTAAAGATTTCTGCTGCATGTTGAAGTGTGTATTTGTTTTCCATCCACTTGAGGGGCAGAGAGATGGGGAAAGAGAGATCTTTTCATCCACTGCTTCACTCCCCAAAGGTCACAACGGCAAGGGCTGGCCAGGCCGAAGGCGGGAGCCTGGAACCCCATCGAGGTCTGGGGTGGCAGGGGCCCAGCCCTTCAGCCATCATCTGCTGCCTCCCAGGACGCAGAGCTGGGACTGGAACAAGCGCTTGAATATGGGAGGCAGGTGTCCCAGGAGGCAACTGGATCCACTGAGCCACATCGTCCCTGCTGACTGTTTCAACTCAAGAAATGATCAATGTTTGATGCGGTAGATATGCTTACCCTGGTTTCAACATTATACCGTGTATTCATACATGTGTGCATTTATATTTGTCAATTGAAGAAAAATTTCTTATAAAGATTTATTTATTTATTTGAAAGAGTTAGAGAGAGATCTCTCATCTGCTGGTTCACTTGCCAAATGGCCTCAATGGCCAGGGCTGGCCCAGGCTGAAGCCAGGAACCTGGAACTCCATCTGGGTCTCCCACATGAGTGCAGGGGCCCAAGCACTTGGGCCATCTTCCACTGTTTTCCCAGGCCAAAGCAGAGAGCTGGACGGGGAGAGGAGCAGCTGGGACTCCAATTGGTGCTCAAAGGAGAGGCTGGCATCTCAGGCAGTGGCTGAATCCACTGCGCCACAACACTGGCCCCTGAAGAAAACTCTTTAAAATATTATTAACTTATTTGAGGCCGGCACCGCAGCTCAATAGGCTAATCCTCTGCCTGGGGCGCCGGCACCCTGGGTTCTAGTCCCTGTTAGGGCTCTGGATTCTATCCTGGTTGCTCCTCTTCCAGTCCAGCTCTCTACTATAGCCCGGGAGTGGCAGTGGAGGATGGCCCAAGTCCTTGGACCCTGCACCCGCATGAGACAAGTCCTTGGACCCTGCACCCGCATGAGAGAACAGGAGAGGCACCTGGCTCCTGGCTTCGGATCAGCACGGTGTGCCGACCACAGCAGCCATTGGGGGGGTGAACCAACGGAAAAGGAAGACCTTTCTCTCTGTCTCTCTCTCTCTCACTGTCCACTCTGCCTGTCCAAAAAAAAAAAAAAAAAAAAAAAACTTATTTGAAAGGCAGAGTGACATAAATCAGGTGTGATAGAGAAATCTTCCATCCACTAGTTCTGTCTCCCAAATGGCCATAGTAGCTGGGGCTGGGTCAGGCTGAAGACAGGAGCCAGGAGCTCCATCTGGGTCTCCCACATGTGTGGCAGGAACCTGGGCCATCTTCCACTGCTTTCCCGAGCCAACTAGCTGGAGTTGGATCGGAAGTGAAGCAGCCAGTACTGGCACCTATGTGGGATGCCGGCACCGCAGTTGTCAGCTTTATCCACTGTGCCACCGCACGGGCCCTTGCAGAAAAGTTTACAATTGGCCAGGAGCACACAGTGTGGTGGAGAGGAAGCGCCCACATCCCGCATCCCACTGCCTGGTTCCAGTCTCAGCTCCTCTGCTTCTGACCTGGCTTCCTGCTAACGCATCCTGGGAGTCAGCAGATGATGGCTCACGTGAACCAGAGGACAAAGGATATCTCTCAATTTATCTCTTTCTCTGTCACTCTGCCTTTCAAGTAGGTGAAAATAAAAATAAACAGTTTTTTAAAAATGAAACAGGCCGGGGGTCCTGGTAAAACTGCCACCTGCAGTGCCAGCATCCCACATGGGCACTAGTTGAAGTCCCAAGTCCCAGCTGCTCCACTTCCGATCCAGCTCTCTACTGTGGCCTGGGAAGGCAGTAGAAGATGGCCCAAGTGCTGGGGCCCCTGCACCCACAATGGGAGACTTGGAGGAAGCTCCTGGCTCCTGGCTTTGGATCGGTGCAGCTCCTGCCATTGTGGCCATTTGGGGAGTGAACCAGGGAATAGAAGACTTTTCTCTCTCTGCCTCTCTCTCTCTCTCTCTCTCTCTCTGTTAACTCTGCCTTTCAAATAAATAAATAAATCTTTTAAGAAAAAGAAACAGCCCAGAGTCACATGATTGCCTCAGGAATGATGAACCAAGAAAAAAAATTGTGAGGGGGGCAGGCATTTGTCACGGTGGCTGAGCTGCCGCTTGGAACAGATCTTCACCCACATCCCATACTGAATTGTCTGAGTTTGACTCCTGGCTCTGCTCCCAGATTACAGCTTCCTGCTAACGTGCATGCCCCCTGTGAGGCAGAGGGTGGATTCCTGCCATCACACGGAAGACCCAGGTTCTGTTCCTGGCTCCTGGCTTTGGATGGGTTGGCCCGGGCTGTGGCTGGCGTTTGGGGAGTGAACCAGCAGATGGCAGATGTTCCCTCATTCATTCCTATTCTCTCTCTCTCTCTCTCTCTCTCTCTCTCTCTGTGAGTGTGTGTGTGTGTGTGTATGTGTCACTCTCTTCCTCTCTCTGATTTTCAAATAAATAAAATAAAAAATTTTAAAAATCTGACAGGTGATTTCCTTTTTTTCTTACTTTTTTTTAAAAAAAGATTTATTTGAAAGACAGAGTTACAGAGAGAGGGAGAGAGAGAGAGCAAGAGAAGAGAGGTCTTCCATCTGCTGGTTCACTCCCCAAATGGCCACGACAGCCAGAGCTGAGCTGATCCGAAGCCAGGAGTCAGGAGCTTCTTCTGTGTCTCCCCTGTGGGTGTAGGGCCATTTTCTGATGCCTTCCCAGACACATTAGCAGGGAGCCAGATTGGAAGTGGAGCAGCCAGGTCATATGGGATGCCAGCGCTGCCGGCCAGGGCTCTAACCCGCTGGGCTCTAACCACAGTGCTGGTCCCTCACATTGGTTCCTTGCAGCTTTCCTTGTGGTACTCCAGGCCATTCTGAGTACCTTGTGGGAAGATAAGCAGCCCCGGGGCATCCTCTGGAACACAGGCTCAAGGGAGGAAACTCGGACTCTCCGCCCTTGTCCCTGAGGTCCCTCTCGCCTTAGGCCCGCACTCTTGGTTACACATCTGCCTCTACTCAGTGGGAGTGTACGCTAAAGTGGGTACGCTTCAGAGACCAGCATGATACAACGGTCTTTCCACTCACAAAGCAGGCTGTACAAAACAGCCACCTTCCGGGGCTCCACGTGGGAGGGGTATGTTGTCAAAACACTGTTTCATATTAGAATAAGATTAGTTGGGGCCGGCGCTGCGGCTTAATAGGCTAATCCTCCGCCTAGCGGCGCCGGCACACCGGGTTCTAGTCCGGGTCGGGGCGCCGGATTCTGTCCCGGTTGCCCCTCTTCCAGGCCAGCTCTCTGCTGTGGCCAGGGAGTGCAGTGGAGGATGGCCCAACTCCTTGGGCCCTGCACCCCATGGGAGATCAGGAGAAGCACCTGGCTCCTGCCATCGGATCAGCACAGTGCGCCGGCCGCAGCGCACCGGCCGCGGCGGTCATTGGAGGGTGAACCAACGGAAAAGGAAGACCTTTCTCTCTCTCTCTCACTGTCCACTCTGCCTGTAAAAAAAATAAAATAAAATAAAATTAGTTGGTCAAACAATACCCAGTCTACTTTCAAACACTGTTCTAATCTGACCAAAGTTCTACTCTCTTAAGGATCTGAAGACTTCACTAACTGTAACATTTATAGGAAGAAAAATTAAGAAGAGAGGAGCCACATACCATAATACTTGACAAGTTTTGACAGCAAATGATTTATTATTGTCAAGACATGTCGTGTCCCCTTTAATCAAATTGCAGACACTTGAAACATCTGTCTGTTTTACATGTTTGCAAATGCCTTGCTCCATTGTCTCTGTGATCCTTGGGACTTTTTAACCCAGGGAAAAGCCGTAGGGGTAGCGAGGTTGTTTAAATTTAAAGACGGAGAGCAGCCAGCCAAGGAATATTACAACCAGACACATGCCAGTCACACACAGCATCGTCGTCTTGATGGCGCCCATCCTGCACGTGGCAGCTTTATCCAGAAGCACCACTCCCAGGGTGATGCACGCATGAAACAGAGAAATGATGTACGTCTCTGGGATGAACTGCAAGGAGTTCATCCTGGCGATGTAATGTATACGCCCCGTGTGGTAATTCCTTTCGCCGTATGAGGCTCCTTTTATGCGCGTCCACATTTGGCCAGACGTCATCACAATCACAAAACTCAGAGCTAACACTGCCCACAACACTCTGCTGTGAACAAGCTTCCTGCTCCAGCTCCATAGAAGTGCAGATCCACCCAGGAGGCTCACGAGGACCCCCACTGCGAGGCGACCATAGCGTGGGGGCCGCCTGACGTTGATGCTGACCTTCGTTTTCTTGGCCACCCATTCAGCCATTTGCTCGGCTGTGATGCCCATTTCACTCACATGACTGATGTCGTCTGGAGCAAATGTCCTTTCAGCAGAAAAGTGGAAGAGTTTCGGCACCGTTCTCAGTTGGAACATTTGGAAGATCTCAGGGCTCTCATCATAATCCACTAATGCAAAAAACACTCTGTTGGTGAAGGCACTGGGGTGTCGCCAGGAATTTACCAAGATCTGGAATTCCTTAGCAGCTGGGGCACACATTGTGCATGTTCTAAACTGGTCGAGAACAGTGAACAGCACAACCACAGAGTAATTTCTTGGTGCTTCCAATACAAAATAGTAAAACATGGTGTTGCTCATTCTTAGTATCCCATCTTTCTTGGCCTGCTTCGTCAGCCGGTTGACCTTTATGGCTAGCATTTTTTTCCCTCCGGCAGGATGTGTGGGCACTCCAGGAGCCATGAACGCCAGCGCCACCACCACAGTCAGAGGTATACGCCAAAGCCACCATAGTGCTGCCATATTTGTTACTTCTTTCTGTTATAAAACATTGCAAAACATGTCAGCCAAAATTGGATCCTTTTTTTTTCTCCCAGCAATCAATCTGTCCAAGATCTTTTCCACCCTTCTCTTTAATTGTGGTAAACGTCCTTGTGTGTCCAGCTTATCAGCCATATTCTGAGGCTGCAAAATATTCTGTAGGCAAGGAAGTTCGGGAAATACTGCGCTGGCCTCAGTCTCTGGCTGAGCCGCAAGCTCGGGCTCTAACCGCGTGCTGGACAGCTCCTGTGTCCACCACAAGCACTGCCAGCTCCTCAAAGCCAACCTCTGCCTTCCAAGCCCTTGGAGCTCCACCTGCTGCGCGCTGCTGGGGGTGGTACCATCCTGCCAATCACTGAGGTGTAAAGGCTGAGGGGCGCCTCCTGGGCATCTCTTTCCCTCATCCAGCACACCTGAGCCCGGCCTCCGGGACAGGCTGCCCTGCCTGGGTGTGAATCTATTTGTCAGTTATGTGACCCTGGCCTAGCTCTCCACTGTTCTGTGCCTCACCTGGAAGACGTGAATGGTTTTAGTGACACACTCCAAGGACTGTTCAGCTAAGCGCTGAGAACCAAACCAGGCCGGCAAGCCCATCTTCCGCCCTATTCCCAGCACCACCGCTGGGAGCCGTGTGCAGCGGAACAGAAAGGCTGGCCTGCAAACCCATCCACCTGGGCTGCCAGCTCTGCTCGCGCGCGCGCTCTCTCTCTCTCTCTCTCTCATATGAGAAACAGACAGACTGATTGATTTCCTATCGTTGGTTCACTACCAATTGCCCGCAGTGGCTGGGGCTGGGGCTGGGTTGGGTCAAGGCCAGACCCTGGAAACTCCACCCAGGTCTCCCACATGGGTGACACTTCGGCCACCACCTGCTGCCTCCCAGGTGCACCTTGACAGGAAGGTGGATGGGAGGCAGAGCAGTGGCACGAACCCCCAAAGCACCCCAATAGCAGGGGATAAATGCCTACGCCACCTGACAGTTGGCAAGATTGTTAACACTTTCCCAATGCCCACAACAGTACTGAGGCGATAAGATATGGTTGGATTTCCTTTTCCTTCTTTTTAAAGAAGTAGTAGAGGGATGAGCTGTGGCCCAACAAGTGAAGCCGCGGCTTGCTACACCAGCATCCCATGTCAGAATGCTGGTTCCAATCCTGGCTGCTCTGCTTCTGATTCAACTCCCTGCTAATGCTCCCGAGAAGGCAGCAGACGGCCCAAGTCCTGGGGCCCTGCACCTTCGTGACCAGGATGGAGTTGTTGGCTCCTGGCTCTGTCGTGGCCCAGCCCTGGTTGTTATGTGTATTTGGGGAGTAAGCCTGCAGTTGAAAGACTCCTCTCCCTCCCTCCCTCTCTGTCAGTTTGCCTTTCAAATAAATAAATCAATATCAAGGGGAAAAAATAAAGAAATGGTTGGATTTTGAGCACTGCTTCTAATACCCCAGCTCTCTCTCCCAGGGTTATGCCTGCCTTCTCCAAATCCCATTGAGAAATTGTGGTGAAATCATTGCACAAGACCTGGCTGAAGGAAAGTGTGTGAATAACGTTAAATACCAGAGTGTATCCATTCCTGGAAGGGAACTGGAAGGGGCGAGAGCCTACACGGGAGACTGGCTTTTTCTGAGTACTGTTCCAATTATCATGCCGATGCATAACTTTTCTCAAATTACAAATGTTTAAGTTGTAGGTCCGCTAGAGTTCCCCGGCTCCTCCCCGCTGGGCCCCTAGCCCCCTCCTCCCCTCCCCCGCGCCCCCGCGCCCCCCAGGCTGGGCCCGCAGTCTCTTTCCTACCCTAGGGGCCTTTGCGGACGCCGCCCCGCACGCCCGCGCCCGCGGTTGCCAAGGTCAACACCGAGCTCCGCTCTCCGCACGGGGAGGGGGCGGTTGCCTAGCAACAGGTGAGCCAAACAGCAGAGGAGCCGGGCGAGGGGGTCGCGCGAGCCAGAGCCGCGGAGGAGGTGAGAGGGCGAGCGCGGCCGGGCGGGGGGGGGGGGGGGGCTTCGTAGAAGGGGGGGCCGGCCCCCCTCCCTCCCTCGGTTCCTTTCCCCGGCTTGGCGCCCCGGGGGGGGGGCGGCCTCCTTGGTTTAAACTGAAAAGCATGATGGCTCTGCTCCAGCTCCCCCAGCCAACCTAGGGTGGAGGGAAGGAGTGCCGGGGCCGCTCCGGGAGGGGGCCGGGGTCCCCTGCCCGCTCCCGAGGGCCAGCTCGATCCGCCGTGCCACGCATCGGTGAAGAGAGAGCAGGACCCTTTCTCCTGCGTGGCCTCCCGCCAGGGGAGAAAGAAAAGCAAGCTAGGCGACGCGTGGTCGCTGGCAGTGGTGGTGTGAACTGGACTACTAGGCTGTTTTCTTGCCAACCACGCCGCCTCCACACACATTAGGCCCGAGGGACACTATTAGCTTCTTACCCGGCGCCAGGAGCGGCGCGGGCTAGGGCCTGTGTCTGCAGGTGGACGTGCGGGCGGAAATCGATGCCTCCCGCAGAGACAGCAGACCTGTTCCCAACCAGGCCTCCTGCAGGAAGAGGCTTACAGGGGCGTCCATCTGGGGCGCAGCTGAGCCAGGAGGCTTCTCCTGGGTAGGAGGCTGCAGCCCAGTTCTCCCTCTGCAGGTGGTGTGTCTTGAACCGGGCCTGGGGGCTTGTGACCCTTTGTGCCCCTTCGCCATGGCCACATTGAGCACCAAGCCCAGTGAGCGCTTCCGGCTGGCCGACTGGAACACCAACAGCTACCTGTTGTCCACCAATGCCGAACGGCAGCGAGATGCTTCCCATCAGATCCGCCAGGAGGCCCGGGTCCTCCGGAATGAGACCAACAACCAGGTTGGGTGCTGGAGCCCCAGTGGATCAGCAGGCAGAGGGGACAGCCCCCAGCCAGCAGCACCTGCTTCACCTGGCCTTGCCTCTTCCAGACCCTTTGGGATGAACACGACAATAGGACTCGGCTGGCGGAGAGGATTGACACGGTGAACCGCTGGAAGGAGATCCTGGACAAGTGTCTGACGGATTTAGATGCCGAGATGGATGCCCTCGCAAAGGCAGGGCGCCGAGGCTGGGTGCCCCGAGCTGCTTTTGCAGAGACACCCCTCCTGCCCCGGGGTCTGGGTCTGGGAACCCTTGGTGGGGGCTCCTAGTGGGCACATCGATTTGGGCCACTCACCGGCCTCTAAGGCAGCGATGAGAGTTACTTGCCAGCAGGGGGCTCCAGCAGCCTCCTGGGTCTCTTTTCTTCCAGATGAAGGAATCAGCAGAGCAAAACCTGCAGGCCAAGAACCTGCCTCTGGACGTGGCCATCGAGTGCCTGACCCTGCGGGAGAGCCGGCGGGACATCGATGTGGTGAAGGACCCAGTGGAAGACGAGCTGCATAAAGAGGTGGAGGTCATCGAGGCCACCAAGAAGGCCTTGCAGCAGAAGATTCGCCAGGCCTTCGAGCAGCTCTGGTAAGGGAGAGATGTACGTTCACCTGTTTATGTGCACTTGCAGGCTTTGTGTCTTAAATGTGGAACACACGGGGGCTGGCGCTGTGGCGCAGCGGGTTAACGCCCTGGCCTGAAGCGCCAGCATCTCATATGGGCGCCGGTTCAAGACCCAGCTGCTCCTCTTCCACTCCAGCTCTCTGCTATGGCCTGGGATAGCAGTGGAAGATGGCCCAAGTCCTTGGGCCCCTGCACCCATGTGGGAGACCAGGAAGAAGCTCCTGGCTTCGGATCGGTGCAGCTCTGGCCATTGTGGCCATTTGGGGAGTGAACCAGCGGATGGAAGACCTCACTTTCTTTCTCTCTGCCTTTCCTCTCTCTGTGTAACTTTAACTTTCAAATAAATAAATATTAAAAAAAAAAAAGTGGAACGCAGGTGAGTGGCCATTTGGTCCAGTGGTTAAGACACCTGTGTTCTGCATCGGAGTGCCTGGGTTCAAGACCCATCTCTGCATCCTGACTCCAGCTTCTTGCTAATTTAGACCTTGAGAGGCAGTGGTGATGGGGGGCTCAGGTAGTTGGGTTCCTGCCACCTCATGGGAGACCTGGATTGAGTTCCTGGCTTGAGCCTTGACCCAGCCTCAGATCCTGGGCATTTGGGGAATGAACCAGTAGAGAGGAGATCTCTCTGCAGCTTACATAAATAATTGTTTTAATGTTTTGTTTTGCTTTGTTTTTTTAACGTAGAGCACAGGTATAGAAGAAAACAAATGAGTATCTGGCTCCTATACTACCTTTCACCTTTCTTGCACACATGACCAATTCACCAAGTGATTGTAGCATTTTTCCATTGCCTGGACAATATCCTGGTCTCAGGACACTTATTTTCATTTTTTAAAGATGTATTTATTTATCTAAAAGGAAGAGTTACAAAGAAAGAGAGGCAGAGAGCAATCTTCCATCCACTGGTTCACTTCCCAAATGGCTGCAATGGTTGCAGGCCAGGATGAAAGCAGGAGCCAGGAGCTTCTTCCAGGTCTCCCACATGGGCACCAGAGGCCCAAGCGCTTGGACCATCCTCTGCTGCTTTCCCAGGCACATTAGCAGGGAGCTGGATCGAAAACAGAGCAGCCGGGACTTGAACCAGCGCCCATATAGGAAGCCAGCACTGCAGGCGGCGGCTTTACCTGTTGCGCCACAGCGCCGGTCCCCTCAGGGGGCACTTCTCAGTGAGCCTGCGCTAGGCCGCCATTACCAATTGATTGGAAGCACAGAGATGAAGCCTATTCCCCACCATCCCCGAGGACCTCCTTGGGAGTGGGTCTGGGGGAGCCTCTGTGAGTGTGCTACCTGCGTGTGCCCCGAGGGTGAGCACCAGCACTTGCATGTCACTGTTTTGGCTGAGCCGATCTTTGTCTCAGCTGTAGCAGCTGCCGCATTGTCTCCTGCTCGGAAGAGTCATTGCAGCCTCCCCCCACCCTCTGCCCCTGCGTCCCCTCTGGCTGCATCCGGGGGCCTTGGGAATTGGTTCCTGATGGAGCCTGCTCTCCCACAGCCTCCTGCAGGAAGTCCGACAGCAGCTCAACTCTGACCATCGGGGCAAAATGGAGACGCTGGAGATCGACAGGGGCTGTCTCTCTCTCAACATCAACTCCCCAAACATCTCTCTGAAGATCAATCCGACGCGTGTCCCCAGTGGGTAAGAAGCGTGTCTCCATCAGTCCGTCCCCCAGGGGCCATACCCTTACGACCCTATCCTTTCCTGCCACTGCAGCTCCACCACGCTCCAGCAGTGGGATGAGTTCAGCCGGTCCAACAAGAACCGAGCAGAGGCCGAGATGAAGGCAGCCACGGAGCTGAGGGAGATTATCGCCTTGACTATCGCCGAGGTGACTGGCCACCGCCCCGCCCGCTCCTGCACAGGGTGCACGCAGCCTCTCTCTTGTCCCCTGAGAACCAAGTAGCACCCCTTCCCCACAGGCTCAGATGGCCTTGAGCTTATGAGCCCCTCCCCTCTCCCCGCCCACCTGGGGTCCTTCAGACCAACAATGAACTCGAAGCCCAGAGGGTCGCCACGGAATTCGCCTTCAGGAAGCGACTGCGGGAGATGGAGAGAGTGTACAGTGAACTCAGATGGCAGGAGAAGAACGTGAGCTTCTTCCTGGGGTTAGGGTGCGGAGGGGGAGGGGGAGGAGCCCCGGGCGGGGTGCGCCTGGGGCGCTCAGCCGCACGGACCACCCGGTCCCCGGCAGACCTTGGAGGAGATCGCCGAGCTGCAGGAGGACATCCGGCATCTGGAGGAGGATCTGCGCCGGAAGCTGCTGAGCCTGAAGCTGGCCCACACCCGGCTGGAGACCAGAACCTACCGGCCCAACGTGGAGCTCTGCCGCGACCAGGTGCGCGGGTTGCGGGACTACCACCCAGCGCAAACCCTCTGCGCAACAAGGGCGCTGACCTGTAGTTCCCTCCTGCCCCTCTGCCTCCAGGCGCAATATGGCCTCACTGACGAGGTTCACCAGTTGGAGGCAACCATCGCTGCCCTGAAGCAGAAGCTGGCGCAAGCACAGTAGGTCTGGGGACACACCACCACCGGCGCAGCCTCCTGCTGCCTGCTGGTGCTCCCGGCCACCGTCCTCCCTGCCGGCTCCGGGGTCCGCCCAGACCTCCCGGGCTCATGCAGCGGCGCTGGGCTGTTCTTGCGCCTCTCCAGGGATGCTCTGGATGCCCTGTACAAGCATCTGGCCCGGCTGCAGGCTGACATTGCTTGCAAGGCCAACTCCATGCTGCTGGACACCAAGTGCCTGGACACGCGACGCAAGCTGACGGTGCCGGCTGAGAAGTTCGTGCCCGAGGTGGACACCTTCACCCGCACCACAAACCGCACTCTCAGTCCACTCAAAAGCTGCCAGCTGGAGCTGGCCTAGCTTCCAGGGACGAGGCAGGAGGGGAAGGTGGGGTGGGAAAGGGAAGGAGGGGCAGAGAATACATTTAATAAAGGTCGAGGTTCTCAGGCTAGGCCACTCTCCCCTCCCCCACCCGCACGTGTAGCCAGCTGGGATGAGACGGTCCAGACACTCCTGTGTATGAAGCAGCGGGGTGGGGGTGGGTGTCTTCGTCTCCCCAAACCACAGGCTGCGAATCCAATTCCTCTCCTTCCCCCCCAGGGAGCTGCTCTCTGGCTTAGCTCTGCCGCAGCTAGTGCTCAGCCTTGCCCATTTGATGCTCAGGATCGAACTGCGGGAAAGAGGGGTGAAGTGGGGTTAGGGTGCCCCAAGCCGAGCTAGGGCTGCCGAATCTGAGGTGTTCGTCTGCGGGGTGTGGCCTGAGGGACCCTTGAGTGTCCGTCCCGTTGGCCTACAGCAGCGAATGTGCGCGCAAAGCCCAGGCTGGCGCGGGCTGCGCGGCGCCGCGACTCCGGGCCGCTGGGCGGCGCTGTGGGTCGGGGAGCTACGTCAAGACCCTGGGGAGCGGGACGGGGGAAGCGGCGGCGACGGGACCGGAAGTGGCGGGTGGCTCGCGCGCGGATGGCGGCGGCGGCGGCGGTGATGGCGGCGGGCTGCGGCGGGGCCGGGCCGGCCCGTTCTCTGTCGCGCTTCCGAGGCTGCCTGGCTGGCGCGCTGCTCGGGGACTGCGTGGGCGCCGTCTACGAGGCGCACGACACCGTCAACCTGACGTCAGTCTTGCGTCACGTCCAGAGCCTGGAGCCGGACCCGGGCACGCCGGGCAGCGCGCGGACAGGTGGGCGGGGCCGGCGCACGTGGGCCCCACGGAGGGAGGGGAGCCGAGGCGCTGCGGCCGGCTGGGGAGGGTGCCGGGAAGACCCGTCCGCGACGCCGTCCGCCGACGGTGCAGGCCAGACCTGGGCCGGCGCATCCGTCCTGAGCCGTTTCACCCAGGGCTGGAGTCCGTGCCCCGCCAGCCGGCCCCTGCAGGGCCAGCTTCCTTAACGCGTGCCCCGCGGCCAGGCCCTCCGGTTGCGCTCGGTTCCTGTCGCCCCGGGCTGCCTGTAGCCCGAGCTCTTGTACGTGCCGCCCCTCGCCTGTAGATCCGTCTCCCCTCCCCGCCTGCTTCCCTGGGCAGTCAGCTCATGTCCAGGCATCAGGTCAGAGGTCCAGCAGAGGGTGCGACTTGTCGGCAGGCACGTAGGGCGGACGTAGGAGGGGCCACAGGGAGCGCCTCGGGGAACACCCGTAACTGGGGATGGGGGAGGCTGGCAGGAGCGGGTTTCGGCCATCAGGAAGAGTCTGGTCTTAGACCAGCGTTGCCAGCGGTTGAGGAGGAAATGAAAAATGAGAAATTGGAATGGTTTGGAGAGGTGAGCTGTGGTTGAGATAAGGCACGATTGGAGAGGTTTTTTTTTTTTTTTTCATTTCTGGTTTTGATGCCAGGAGAAAAAGTCTGTTTTAGGTTGAGGGTGTTTTAGAACCCTGTGGATAGGAGTGGTAGAAAACCCAGCTCACAGTGGCCCGCGCAGAGGGGCCGTGTAGTGGCGCCATATGGGCACCTGTTCCAGTCCTGGCTGCCCTGCCCGGGATCCAGCTCACCGCTAAGACACCTGAGAAAGCAGCCAGGACAACCCAAGCACATGGGCTTTACCTCCCACATGGGAGACCCGGATGAATTTCGGGGTCCTGGCTTCTGCCTGGGCTTTTGTGGTCATTTGGGGAGTGAACCTACAGATGGAAAATGTGTTTGTCTCTTCCTTTCTCTGTAACTATGCATTTCAAATAAGTAAATACATGTTTTCCTTAAAAAAAAAAAAAAAGTCACACAGAAAGGGACTTATTGGCTGACACAACCCGAAGGGCCAGAGCAGATTCAGCTTCGAGCCGAGCTGAGTCCAGGGGCGTGGATCATCTTGAGGCTCAGTGCCTCTCCTGTGCTCAGCTCTGCTTTCCCTAGGCTGGCCTTCCCCTCCTCTGGGGGCGCCCGGCAGCTGCAGCAGTGGGGGAGTTTATCTGCGCTTGCCAGCACAGGCCCTGAGCAAGCACATAGACCTGGCTCAGCATCTGCCCCTAAACGAGGGAACAGGAAGCGCTGTTTCATTGGGCCAGCTTAGCTCCGTGCCCCAGTCACAAGGCCCGAGAAGGAGAAAAGGGGTCTCCTGGGGAAAGCAGGGTGCAGCGATCGCATGAAGAGAATAGTAGTCGCCCCACTGCAGGGCGAGCGATGGAGGCGACAGGGGAGGGACCAGGAGTGGTGCCCTCCCTCTGACGGGGAGATTGCAGAGTGTAGCTGTGGGTAAGATGCCTGTCAGCCACACGTGCCAGTGAAGTGGGGGGGGCACTACATAAAGGAAAGGAGCACGTGGGGTGGGCTGGAGCCCTGGGAGCAAGTCTGCCACTTCCCTGCAATCCCCTGGCCCTGAGTAAGGCTCATGGCCATGGGAGAAGTCACAGAGTTACCCATGGTGCTCCTGGCAGGCACTCAGAGGAAAAGGGGGCGCGTGGAGGGAGCGGAGGGGGGCCGCCGCAAGAACTGGTTCGGAGCACGTGTGGGGCGGCTGCGGACAAGGAAGGAAGAAGGGTTGGGAAGGGTTTGAATGGCAAGGCTGTTGATTTGGACCGAATCCTGAAGGTAGCAGGTAGCCGGTTTTTTGTTTTGTTTGTAAAGATTTATTTGAAAGGCAGAGTTACAGAGGGAGAGAGAGAAAGATTTTTCATCAGACTGGAGCCAGGAGTTTCTTCTGGGTTTCCCACATGGGTGCAGGGGCTCAAGCAGTTGGGCCATCCTCTGCTGCCATCCCAGGCACATTAGTAAGGAGCTGGATCGGAAGTGGACTAATCCTCCGCTTGCGGCGCCGGCACCCCGGGTTCTGGTCCCGGTCGGGGCTCCAGATTCTGTCCCGGTTGCCCCTCTTCCAGGCCAGTTCTCTGCTGTGGCCAGGGAGTGCAGTGGAGGATGGCCCAAGTCCTTGGGCCCTGCACCCCCATGGGAGACCAGGATAAGTACCTGGCTCCTGACTTCGGATCAGCGCGGTGCGCCAGCCGCGGCGACCACTGGTGGGTGAACCAATGGCAAAAGGATGACCTTTGTCTCTGTCTCTCTCACTGTCCACTGTGCCTGTCAAAAAAAAAAAGAAGAAGAAGAAGAAGTGGAACAACCAGGACTCGAACTGACACCCATATGGGATGCTGGTGCTACAGGTGGCAGCTTTACCAGCTACGCCCCAGTGCCAGCCGCAGCAGATAGCCATTTTGAGGAGGGTGAGCCGAGGAAAATGACCTTTTGCTTGTAGGAGTAGTTTGGGTTTTTTGGTTTTTGATTTTTCTTAATTTGAAAAGCAGAGAGACAGAAATCTCCCATCTACTGGTTCACTCCCCTAATGCCAAACCCAGAAGCCAGGAATTCAATCCAGGTCTCAGATGGGTGGCAGGGACAAACTCAATCCAGGTCTCAGATGGGTGGCAGGGACAAAAGTGCCTCCCAGGACACACTTTAGCGGGAAGCCGGAGTCAGGAGTAGGGCCAGGACTTGAGCAGGCACTTGGATGTGAGATGTGGGTGTCGCAAGTGGCATCTCAACCACTGTGCCAAGTGCCTGGTTTCTTCTGAAAGGTTTTCTGGCTGCTCCTCGGTGCTGGCTTGGAAGTGCGAGTGTGCGGAGACGGTGTGGGAGGCCCTGCCTGTAGCCTGAGCAGGTCCTATCAGGACAGGAGCTGTGGTGACGGCAGCCAGGGGCATGGCAAGTTTTCCTGCAGAAGTCAGCAGGATGTGGCGATTGGTTTGGAATATCCTCAGGAGTCTCGGGGCTGAAATCTGAGGCTTCCTGGAGCCTCGGAAACTGGAGGGGACTGAGGGGCGTGTTAGAGGCGTGACCTGAGAGCAGTGTTGGCAGGAACTGCGTCCCAGAGCGCGGTGCTCCCTTACCTGTCCTCTGCCCACAGAAGCCTTGTACTACACAGATGACACAGCCATGGCTAGGGCGCTGGTGCAGTCCCTACTGGCCAAGGAGGCCTTCGACGAGGTGGACATGGCTCACAGGTGAGGGGGTGGGAGGCTTGGGGAAACCAGGGGGCGGAGTTCCTTGATTAGAGGAGTGATGTCTACACGCCTAGGACACCCCCCACCCCCACCCCATTTAGTTCCTGGGACTGACACATTGTCCCAAGATAAAAACCACAGCACAGGGACCAGCGTTGTGCCTCAGCAGGTTAAGCTGCCTCCTGAGACACTGGCATCCCATATGGGCTCCATTTTGAGTCCCAGCTGATCTCCAGTCCAGCTGCCTACTAATGCACCTGGGAAAGTAGCAGAAGATGGCCCAAGTGCTTGAGCCCCTGCACCCACATGGGAGACCCACATGAAGTTCCTGGCTTCAGCCTGGCCCAGCCCCAGCCATTGCAGCCATTCGGGAAGTGAATGAGCAGGTGGAAGATATTCTGTGTGTGTGTGTGTGTGTGTGTGTCCCACTCTCTTTGTAACTATCTTTCAAATAAATAAATCTAGAAAAAGAAAAAGACAGCACCTCTGTTACCAGCTCCTGAGATGTCCCTGGCCTCCTTGTTTTCCAAGCCAGCCCAGATTTCTTCTCTCCCAACCATGAGAGACATCATTTTTATGATTCTTTATTTATTTGAAAGGCAGAGTTACAGCTAAAGAGAGATCTTTCATTCACTGGTTCTCTCCCCAGATGGCCAGAATGGCCAGGGCTGGGTCAGGAGCCTGGAACTCCATCTGGATCTCCCACGTGGGTGGCAGGGGCCCAAACATTTGGGCCACCTTCAGCTACCTTCCCAAGTGCGTTAGCAGGGAGCTGGATCAGAAGTAGAACAGCTGGGACTGGAACTGGCTCTCATGTGGGATGCTGGTGTTGCAGGTGGCAGCTTAGCCTGCTGCACTGCAATGCTGACCCCAAGAGGTGTCTTTTAAACCCCAGTTCTGGCTTCTCCCCCACCAGGTTTGCTCAGGAGTACAAGAAAGACCCTGACCGGGGCTACGGGGCTGGCGTCATCACCGTCTTCAAGAAGCTCCTGAGCCCCAAGTGTCGCGATGTCTATGAGCCTGCCCGTGCCCAGTTTAATGGGAAGGGCTCCTATGGCAATGGGGGTGCCATGCGGGTAGCTGGCATCCCCCTGGCCTATAGCAGCATCCAGGATGTGCAGAAGGTATCCCCGGGTGGGCCTCCTGCTGGGCTCCCCACGCTCTTCTGCCGCGAGGGCCCTGGGACAGCAACTGTTCTTCTCCCTAGTTTGCCCGGCTCTCGGCCCAGCTGACCCACGCCTCCTCCCTGGGTTATAACGGTGCCATCCTGCAGGCCCTGGCTGTGCACCTGGCTCTGCAGGGGGAGTCCTCCAGGGAGCACTTCCTCGAGCAACTTCTGGGCCACATGGAGGGGCTGGAGGGAGATGCCCAGTCCGTCTTGGATGCGAGGGAGTGAGTCTGGGCTGGAGGTGTTCCCCCCAGGGGATGGGGAGGGCGGGGAGCACCCTTGCCTTAGCTGGGTTCCAAGGCTCTCAGGGTGCGGAGAACAAAATGACCCGCTTATACCTGACCCTCTGCCACCTCTCTGTGCCTGAGTGAGAGCCTGCCACCTCCTTGCCACTCAAACATGGCCCCTTCTCCTGCCTCGAGTCTCCATCCCACAGCCTCTGACCGGCCTAACACCTGCCCCACCCACAGGCTGGGCATGGAGGAGCGGCCGTTCTCCAGCCGACTGAAGAAGATTGGAGAGCTGCTGGGCCAGGACTCGGTGACCCGAGAGGAAGTGGTGTCCGAGCTAGGTGGGTGACTCGTGCCCCTGCCGTGGCATCTTTCAGGGTGGCCATGGGCTCAGGGAAGGGTGGGAGCATGGAGTCCTGCTTGCCGGTGTGCTTCTGCCCTGCGGCCAGCGTTTCCACCAGGGTTGGCAGTGGGCACTCTGACCGTAGACTGGGCACAGCGTAAACCACCTCTCACTCGAGGTCTCACTTCACCTCACAGCAGCCCCATCAGAGTTACCAACTTGACTCACTGTCTACAACGCGGAGTCGAATCCAGAAACAGGAATCCTTGCGATTAGATAACTTGCCCTGTCACAGCCAATAAGTAGTGGAGCCAAGATTTCAAGCCGGGTAGTCCAGGCCTGCTTGAAGCCGAGCCCTGATGCGAGGCAGGTGGCAGGAGCTGGGTATGGGGCACGTGAAGGTCCTGTCTGGTTTTCCCACAGGGAATGGCATCGCTGCCTTTGAGTCTGTGCCCACCGCCATCTACTGCTTCCTGCGCTGCATGGAGCCCGACCCTGAGATCCCGCCCGCCTTCAATAGCCTCCAGAGGACTCTCATCTATTCCATCTCTCTTGGTGGGGACACAGACACCATTGCCACCATGGCTGGGGCCATCGCTGGTGCTTATTACGGGATGGATCAAGTGCCAGAGAGCTGGCAGCAAAGCTGTGAAGGCTACCAGGAGACAGATATCCTGGCCCAGAGCCTGCACCGGATTTTCCAGAAGAGTCTGTGAGCCACAGCTGCTGGGGCTGCCCATGTCCCATGGGACCAATTCCAGCCCAGATTGGAAACCCTGGGGTTCCTCAAGCCCAGCTCCCCTTCCTCAGTCTTCCTGCCGCGCAGGGCCGAGTGCGCCATTGGGGAAAAGTCGCCGGAACAGTGCCTCCCTGGGGCTGGGCTTCCGGCTTGCTGCAGGGTACCCCCAGCCCCTTGGGGAGACGGAGAACCAGGACAGGTTTTATTGGGGGAGCACTGAGGACGTTTTCCTTTTTATCTGTGACATGGGATTTGGAGAGGTACAGTAGCATCCTTTCTCCCTGCTGGGTTGTCACAAATTTGCCAGAAAGCCTGTTCTTGACTGGGCAGGGCACTGAGCTGTAGGTTGGATCAAGGGCCAGGCACCTGCATCCAGCCAGCTGGGTCTGCAGCTGACCCTTGGCCGTCCTGCGGTTTGCTAGCAGCTTCCAGTGGAAGTCACAGCAATAAACAGGCTTTAGTAAATCCTACCGTTTCCTGTTTCTCTTCTGCCCTGAGTGGATTTTTCCCCTGTGGCAGCTTGACCTTCCTGAACCCCATGCCCTCCTGTCAGGCTGGGCTCCCGTGGCAAAGGGCAGCTGTGTGCTGAGGCGGAGTCCTTTGCTGCCTCCAGTTGGCCGCAGTGTTCAGCCAGGGAGGCCGCGGCAGGCGTGGCTTGGTGGCTCTTCCTGTTGGAAATCACTCAGGTGGCCCAGGCAGCTGGGCCAAGTGCTGCGTCAGAGGCAGCGGGCAGGAACCAGCCAGAGACTCCCCATCTCTGAGGCTGACTTCTCAAGTAGGAGCCGGGTCTGGCTGGGTAAGGGCCAGGAACCCCATTGAAGGATGTAGGGGACACCCTGCAGCAGGCTGGCAGCCTCGGAAGAGCTGTGGCATCCCAGGCCCTTAGCCTGAAGGCTGGGTGCCGCTTCCTGTGTCTCGGGACCCAGACAAAGGCCTTGCCGGGTAAGGAACCTTGTATAGCATCCGCTGCAAAGGAAGGAAAATTAAGGAGGGACACCTCCTTCCACCTGCAGGGACGTTCTCCCTCTCCAGGGACGCCTCACTGGAGACTGGCATGCCCGGCTCTGCAGCTGGCCTGAGGTTTTGGGGCTGCCGGGACTGCTTTCTGCCAGGCTGGGGCAAGGTTATTTCGGTCCACAGATGGATCCCCAGAGCCAGGGACAGACCCTGCACTGCTGAGCGCGGTGGGCTGTGTGCTGATAGGTTCTGCCCAGGACAGCTCCTGCAGCCCTGTCTTCAACGTGGGGCCTGACACCAACCGCACCCTCAGGAGCAAGGATTCACAGTTTCATTCCTAATTCGTATCAGATGTTAAAACCTGGCTTGGGGAGCCTGAGCCAGCTGTCATGGTCCACTGCCCCTGAGAGCGGGAAGGAATGTTCCAGCAAAGCTCGGTCCTATCAGCCTCCCCCCGCACCAACCACTGCCGTCCTACGGTCTAACGTGTCTGCTGGCATTTGCCTGGTGCAGGGCCTCGGCAGCCGAGGAGCACGGAGCATTTCTGAGGTGGGGGTAGCAGAGGCCTGGGCTGGGGAGCAGGTGGGGAACGTGCACTCCCCGGGCCAGGCAAAGATACAGGACAGCCCCAGAGAACTCTTGGGACATGCAGAGGTCAACCTGCCTCTGCACCCACGCCAGGTTCAGCACAGTGCTGTTTTTGTACAACAGGTTTTATTGAGGTTGTGTCAATACAGTCAAGACTGTTTTTCTTTTCAAAAAGAAGTCCTGTTTTCTTTGATTTCCGAGTGCATTTTTCCCGAATCTTGCGTGACACATAAGTATGTGGAGAACTAAGCTTCCTCTACCAATCACTAGTGGAAAACATTTAAACCTTAACCTTTAAAAAAAGAAATTAGGAATCAGAGTATAAAAATGCACAAGGTAATGTAGTTCTCATAGTTCAAACCTGACGTTGTTTATCAAAGCTAGTCAGCTAAGTGAACACCTGCAACTCAAATCCCATAGACATTCCAGAAACGCCAGCCACCCTCCCTCAGGCTTCAGCAGTTGAGGTTGGTGAAAGCTCTGCTCTTTTTTGGCGGGGGTGGGGGGTGTCCCATTGAGAGGCAATTGATTTCCGCCCATCCTAACTCCTTCCCAATGTGGGACTGTTGTGGCTCTGACCCTGGGAATGCGGCAGCTGAGCGAAGGACCCCCATCAGGTGCCGTTGGAGGCCTCAGTCACTTCCAGGTGTTAAGAAGTAGGAAACCCACCATGGACCCCAGCCGAAACCTTCTCCTCCAGTGCCATGGACAGATCTGGCTTTCTCCTTTGGAGAGTTAAAGTGAGTTGTCAAACAGCTTCCTTTGAGTAAGTTGTGGACAAAGGAGGAGGGCTGGCACTAAGCCTCAGGGGACCACAGCTTAGCCTGTCACCAGTCGGCCTCCATTTTCAGCACGGACAGTGCGGAGTTGGCCAAAATCAGAGCGATGCACCCAGATCACCTACAAACAGAGGGCTGGGGAGAAGCCCAGAGCCTCCAGGAAGATGTCCATCATCCCGCCTTTGCCCTGATCCCGGCTTGGAAGAGGGGCCCAGGGGTTGGTGTCCCACCGGATCCTGCCTGTTCCAGCAGAGGAGCTGTGACCTCGAAGAACGGTATTAGGACCCAGGGCGCACTGCTCCAGGGGGTCTGCTGGCGCCTTCTCTCTCAGCCTAGCTGCCTGGGTCCTAATCCTGCTGAGAGCAGGAAATTGGAACCAGAGGGTGGAAGGAGAGGAAGCCCCCAGATTAGCCCCGCTGCTGTACACAGATACCTGCCATGTGGTTCTTATTAGGGTAAGGCCAGTGGAGCCTTCTGCATCCCAGGGCTCATGTGCATGCTGGTCACAGGGCCAGACAAGAGCCTTCCTCTTGGGCAGCCTCAGCGAGGGGTGGCACGGGTCCCCTGGCATTGGGCGTGACCAAGGCAGCCTGCCGGCAGGTGAAAAACACAGATCAACACTCAGGTTTGCTGATGGTCAGCCCTACCTCAAGCCACCATTTGCTCTGGACAGCTCCAGACGCTTCCCCGAGCTTACACTCCGTGACCTGGGGCGGTCCTTAGAGGCCTGTGTGCTGCCCTCATGCTAGGCAGAGCCTGAGTTGGGATGGGGACACAGGGATAAATGAAGAGCTGCCAACCCGCCCAGATCCGTGCCCTACCCGCCGCGAGCTGCCTTCCCTGTGGCTGTGCCTGGACCGGTAAAAAGGGTTGATCCTTCTTGGGAGCCTGCAGAGAGGGTCACCGACCACGCCCGCTGTGGACTGGCCTGGTGCCACTGCACCACCACGAGGGCTGCAGTCCTGGCAGCATCTGCACCAGCCACCTGCACAGTCCCCTTCACACCCTGTCCCCTGGAGAAGACCAAAAAAACCCGGGAACCCTCTGCCGTGCGCTGGAGGCTCAGGAGCTGGGGAGCCCAGCCAAGGACTGTGTGGGAGGCCATGTCCCATTCCTTGAGCAGGTGCCGTCTGGGAGCCAGCAGACATGGCTGTCTCAGCGGGGCTGGAGCAGGGAGCTCAGCCAAGTCCAGGACTCACAGAGACCAGGCAGGGTCCTGTGACAGGACAGGGGCTGCAGCCCCAACACGGCCCAGTCACTGGGGGGAAAGGAACTTGGGCCAGCCCCTTCCAGAAACAGTCTCAGTCCACAGCAGGGACAAAGCCAGTCAGTCTTCTCGGGCCACAGCCACAGCCGCAGGCGCCGCTGCCTCTCATCCGCCTTGGGTTTTGCCTTTAAATGGAGGTTGTAACTGAGAAGGTCACTCTAGCACTACAGAGGCCGCGGCCAGGGCGGCGGGGTCCCCCGCGGGTTATGTGGGACACAGCAGGAATCCTGAAAAGGACGAGTGGATGTACTCGGTGGAGTAGAGGCCGTTAGCCTGGTCCGAGGGCATCTGCACCCAGACCTGGTCGTTGGGCCGCAGCTGCAGCACTGCCCCGCCCGACGCCTGGTCCAGGTAACCCTTCTTGTACTCGTCATAGGTGTAGGTGGCCGGCACGTTGTTCTTGTACAGGGCCACCCACACGTTGGTGCCCTTGACGTGCACGTGGTAGGCGAAATAGTAGACGCCGCCCACGGGGCAGGTGAAGATGCCGGTGGCTGGGTTGTAGCCGCTGTGGCCATTGTAGAGAGTCCGGTCAAACTTCACAGGCATGCCCGAGGCCGGGAAGGGTGAAGTGAGCACAGCGGTGAAGGCCGGCGTGGCGTGGGCCGACAGCTCGCCCAGCCCGAACTGGGGTTTGCCCCCCTTGCCCAGCACCGCGCCTTCCACGCCCCCATTGGGCAGGTGCAGGCCTGCGATGCCAGTCTCATCGAAGGCCCCCGGGGCACCAGGGGGGCCGGGAGGCCCAGGCGGCCCGGGAGGGCCTGTGAGTCCTGGGGAGCCGGGAACCCCGGGGGGCCCGGTGGGCCCAGCAGAGCCCGGTTCCCCCACTTTCCCCTCTCCAGGGGGCCCCGGCAGGCCTGGCTCACCCTTGAGGCCCGGCAGGCCTTGGGGCCCAATAGGGCCAGCTGGCCCCTGGAGTCCTGGGATTCCTGAGGGGCCTCTTAGGCCAGGCTGCCCAGGGAGCCCTAAATCACCCTTCTGTCCTAGGGCGCCCGCCACTCCTGGGCCTCCAGGGCGGCCGGTGAAACCTGGCTCACCTTTGGGCCCAGTTGGTCCTGGAGGTCCATGGGCCCCAGGCAGCCCCCTTTCACCTGGGAGCCCCGGCTTCCCTGCCAGGCCACTAGGCCCCTGGTCACCCCGCATACCAGGCACTCCTGGGGGTCCTCCAGGCCCTGCCTCTCCCTTCGGCCCGGGCGGCCCCCGTCGGCCTGGGAGCCCTGCAGACCCAGGAAGTCCGGGGGGCCCCCCAAGGCCCTGTGGGCCCTGCTCCCCTGGCTCCCCATCCTCCCCTGGCTCACCTCTGTCCCCCAAGAGCCCTGGGGCCCCAGCTGGACCCCTGTCCCCCTTGGGGCCTGGCAGGCCTGGCATTCCATAGCCGGTGGGGCCTATCAGGCCAGGGGGGCCCCGGGTCCCTGGCTCGCCTTTGGCACCAGCTGGGCCCTGTGGCCCTGGCACTCCTGCTGCCCCTGGTACCCCCACGCCATCAACCCCTGGGGGGCCTTTCGGGCCCACAGCTCCTGGCTCCCCCCTGGGGCCTGGAACTCCAGGAGGCCCAGATTCACCCTTGTCTCCAGGGGCTCCAGGGAGTCCATCTACACCTGGTTTACCCAAGCCTGCTGGCCCCGGGGGGCCAGGAGGTCCAGGGGCGCCCCCCTGCCCTGGGGCCCCGGGCAGCCCTGGCTGGCCCACTCCATTATCTCCCTTGAGGCCTCGATCACCTGGGGGCCCAGGCTCCCCTTGAGGCCCCGGCTCCCCCCGGAATCCTGGGGGCCCTGGCACCCCCTGGACACCTGGTTTTCCAGGAACAGTGATGCCGGAGGGGCCAGGAAGGCCAGGGGGTCCTGGGGGCCCCCTAAGGCCCTGGTCTCCTCGTATCCCTGGCTCCCCCCGAAGCCCTGGCTGCCCTGGTGGCCCAACCTTGCCCGGCAGACCTGGGGGCCCAGCCTTGCCCATTCGGGAGAAGCCAGGTGGGCCAGCGGGGCCAGGCTGCCCATGGAGCCCTGGCTTGCCCGTGCCTGGTTTGCCTGGGAAGCCGGGAGGCCCAGGGGGGCCCCGGGGCCCGGGCTTTCCAGGGGGTCCAGGCTCTCCTTTCAGGTCCATCGGCAGCAGCGGCAGAGGCATCTCTGAGGGGGAGAGAGAAGCAGGCAGTCAGAGTCCTGGACGGTGGGGACAGAGGGCCACATCTACCCATTCCCCATGGCAGACTGAGGCACTCGGGGGAACACGGCTCTGTATCTGCTCTCGAAGCCTGTCCCCGGCTGGGGGCTGCAAGGCGTCCTCGCCCAGGGCTCCTGGCTTCCAGTCTCCCAGGTTGGGCCCCCAGCTATGAGCTTAGGTGACCTCAGGAGCGATGGCCGCCAGGGGGCACCCGCAGCCTGCCTTAGAACCAGCTGGCTCGAGCCCACCCTCCCATTTCCCCCACCTTCCCGCCCTTTCCCCACCATGACACCTGTGCCAGCCACACCTGCTTGCAGGCCCTGTGGGGCTGAGAGGCCCTGGATCAGCCTCTGGGAGGGAAGGAGATGGGAAGAGCTTTGATGGGGGTTGAGGAGTGTGGCGGGGCCTGGGGGCTCCGAGGGAGGGGAGTCTGAGGGTCAGGAGCTGTCTGAGGCACTGTGAGGAGGGGGGCTCTCACCCAGGTACTGGCCCTTGCCCTCGCGGAAGGGCGGCCCCACAGGTCCTTTCTGCATGGGCTGCACGTACTGCACGGGGGCGTAGCCGGCCGCCCCAACGGCCCCGCCGCCAGAGGACGCCCGCGGCCCCCACCCCAGCAGCAGCAGTAGCAGCAGCAGCAGCGAAGACAGGGGTGTCGGGGCCCCCTGCATGGCGTCCATAAGGTCCTGCAGGGAAGAGCAGAGGGTCATCAAGCCTGCCCCAGGCCCGGGGTGGGGGTGGCACCAGACCCAGGGGCCCACAAACAGATCCAAAGTTAGATATTCTTCCTGAGGAATTGCCAAGCTCACAGGGGTTACCTCCCAAGCCCCAGCCCGGTCCAAACTCCCCCCACCCCACTTTACCTTTCAGAGCACTCTGACCTCCCTACAGCCCTGGGGGGAAACCCTGCCAGTTTTGGGGGGGTATTTATTTTTTCTTTTCTTCCTTAATTGGGAGACAGACTGACAGAGCTCCCACGGGCTGGTTCACTTCTCGAATGCCTGCAGTGCCCAGGACTGACCCAGACCGAAGCCAGGAGCCGGGAACTCAATCCAGGCCTCCCACATGGGTGGCAGGGACCCCACCCCCCGGGGTCGGCAACCGCAGGAAGGCTGGAATCAGGAACTAGGACTCAGGTCCAGGTACTCTGATGTGTCCTAACCGGTGTCTTAAGGGCACATACCCTGAAAACTCCTTTGATGAGAGCAGCCAATGTCCCGTGAGGGGCCAGCCTCCCTCTGGCGGTGAGCTGAGCGCTTTAGACACTGGAACTCACTTAACTTTTGCAGTATTTGCACCAGCTCTTACTGTCACCCTCGTTTTCCAGACGCTAAAACTAAAGCGGATGTGAAGTTCGCTGGGAAGCAGACCTGGGATGTGACCTTGGTCTGTGCCACTCCACAGTGCCTTTCTGGGCTCCCCCACTGCCTTCAGGATCAACCATGACACTCAGCACAGCACCAGAAGCCCTCTGAATCCACTCTGTGCCTGTGTCTCTAACCCTGTCACCTGTTACCTTTCTGTGCCTCTCCCTCCCTCCACACATCTGCCCTACCAGTCCAGAGCCCCTTACAGCTCCCAGACCCCAGCAGCCTCACCCCTGTGGGCCTTTGCACCTGCTGTGTCTCACCTGCAATATCACCTGCATCTCTTACTCCTCTTTCAAGGACCAGTGAGGCTGTCAGCCCCTCCTCTATGAAGCCTCCCAACAGTTCACCGCTCACCGCTCACTGCTCTGTGCCTGTCTGGAGCTTGCTTGCCCTGCCAGGCCTGGGTGGAGAGGAAGCCCAGGCCCTAGACTCAGGCAGCTAGCCTGAGAGTTCCTCTCACCTGCTGGGGAGCCGGGGCCAGGGCTGTCCTTATCTGTAAATGGGATAAGGTGTGGGTGAACACACTTGGCGGCATTACTCACAATCACCCAAAGCAGAAGCAACCCAAATGTCTATCAACTGAGCAGTGACCAACGAAGGTAGGCAAGCCACACACTGGACCTTCAGCGATAAAAAGGAGTAAGTCTGGGCCTGCTACGGCACAGGAGAGGCTCTGGAACATCACGCTAAGTGAGAAGAGCAGTCACAAAATCATATGGTTTGATTCCTTGCATGGAAGTATGCAGAATGGGGCTGATGCAGAGAGCGTAGAGTAGGGGTGGCCTAGGCTGGGGGCAGGAGGTGACTGTTAACAGACACAGGGTTTTGTTGAGGGGTGCTGGTTGCACAACTGTGTGCATACAGTGAGAAAACAGTGACTTGCACATTGAAGCGGGTCCATTGTATGATCCATGAATTCCATCACAATAAAGCTGTCGTTCCAAGTAAGTAGGTTAACAGCCCGTTTCCCAGGGTGCAGTGATCAGGAGAGAGCACACCGGGCTCAGGGTGGGCACCTGCCGACTGAATGAGGGACTGTGTGGCATTTTTACACCCAAAGAAATCACCCCTTCCTTGGTATCCCTGCTCTGCCTCCCCTCGTCTCACCAGCACTCTCTCTGTACCTGTGCTGGCAGCACCTGCGGGTGTGCGATCAGGGACACAGAACGGAGCCTTCCCTGGTGCCAGCTGGGTCTCAGGCCACAGCCCAGAGCAACTTGTGGCCTGAGTTCCCACAGGGCTTTGCAGGAACAGAGGCAGGGCTCAGGCAAAGGTCTGACCGCTGCCACACCGGTCTCCAGGTTCAAATCCCAGCTCCACCATCAAGCTGATCTATAACCTCAGGCAGGTCTTTTGTCCTCCAAGAGTCTCAGTATAATAGTCACACCCACAACATCTGCCATTTAGAGCTCCCAGGTGCCTGGCCTGGGCTCCTCTCACAGCCATCTGCCCTACAAACCCATGAAGCTCATGCAATGATTACCCCCATGTTCGAGCTGTAGAAATGGAGACTGAGACTGCAGGGCCTTGCAGGGCACACTGTGTTGGAGCTCACACCTCTCTTTTTTCTTTTCTTTTTTTTCTTTTTTTTTTTTTTTTTTTTGACAGGCAGAGTGGACAGTGAGACAGAGAGAAAGGTCTTCCTTTTGCTGTTGGTTCACCCTCCAATGGCCGCCACGGCCCGTGCATCGCGCTGATCCGAAGCAAGGAACCAGGTGCTTCTCCTGGTCTCCCATGGGGTGCAGGGCCCAAGCACTTGGGCCATCCTCCACTGCACTCCCTGGCCACAGCAGAGAGCTGGACTGGAAGAGGGGCAACCGGGACAGAACCAGCACCCCGATAGGGACTAGAACCCGGTGTGCCGGCACCGCAGGCAGAGGATTAGCCTAGTGAGCCGCGGCACTAGCCTGGAGCTCACACCTCTTCCAGCGCCTGCCCTCAGCACACGCCGCCTGCCTCATCTTACTGGGACTGATGCTGGGACTCAGTGGGCTGAGCTGCCCTGGCCCGCTGGGGATCTGCCAGGCTCTATCCCTAATGTATGTGTATGTGTGTGGGGTTGTTGTTGTTGTTGTTGTTTTAAGTTTCATTTACTTTTTATTTTTATCGAAAGGCAGAGTGACAGAAATAGATCTTCCATCCAATGCCCACACCATCTGAGGCTGGGACTGGGCCAAAGCCAGGAGTCTGGTGCCGCCCTGAATGTGTGTTAGCAGGAAGCTGGAGCAGAGCAGAACAGGGGACTCAAGTCTGATATGGGACGGAGGCACCCCAAGCAACATCTTAAGTGAGCTGCCAGACGTCCGCCCGCGTCCTAATGTTGTCCACGCAGTCCCCGTTCACGCCTGTTTTAGGGATGAGGAAGTTGGGGGAGGAGGTCATCTGCTAATATCATGGCAGGTGGAACCAGACTCTTGAGCCCCAGTCCCTAACCTACCTCTCCCAAGTGGGGCAGAGCCCCCTGTACTGGTCAGCTGAGCTGGGGAGAGTTGCTCTCCTCTGCACAGAGCCCGGATGTTCTGCTTGGGCGGTGGGCAGGGGAAGGGGGAGCAGAGCACGCAGCAGGGAGCAGAGGGAGCAGCTCCTGGGCCAGGGCCGAGGTGATGACAGCACCGCAAGAGGACACAGGACAGCCCTGGCTGTGCCGAGACCCAACCTGTTTCCCACAGGGCTCCTGGAGGGCGCAGCCAGTAGGTGCTGAGAGCCAGAAGGACATGGAGGAGCACAGGCAGGTGCCGAAGGGCCGAGGTCACGCGGGAGCCCCGGCAGGGCCCCCAGGGACTGCCCGCCTTTCACTTCTCAGTAACGGGGCCCGCTGAGAAACACCCCCAACCCCACCCTCTGCAGCTCCCTGAACTCGCCCCTCCCAGTTGAGGTCAAGACCAGGGGAGACATCAGGCCCCCAGGGCAGGTGTTTCTGAGAGTGGGCAACTGGAAGACGACTGGGTGACTGGCACACCCACAGTGTCCCCACTCTGCAGATGACCTGGAGGTGCAGGGGGCAGAGTGCTGTGCCTGTGGGCCAGTGGTGGGGCTGAGCAGAGTTCTGACAGCATTAGGACATGGCCAGGAGGGAGGGAGGAGACAGTGAGACAGCAACAGGTGGAGGGGGGAAGAGAGAGAGGGCGACAGAGAAGGTGACAGGTGAACCAGGTTCCCTTTGGGCACCAGGGCACCACTGCCTAGAGAAAGAAGGGAGGCTGCTTCTTGCCCTCCGAGGGGAGGCTGGCAGGTGCTGGTCTGGGCGAGCACATGGCGGCGAGAAGGGTGGGCTGAGCCTTTTTAAGGGGCTGGCTCTCTCTCTGTCTCTCTGCCACACCCCCCTTTCCAGGCCCAGCGCAGGGCTTGGCCGGCACACAGAGAGATGAACCTGACTCAGCATCACACCTAGAGATCACCCGGCTGGGCCAGCAGCGTTGCACTGCAGTGGGTTACACCAACGACAGCGATGCTGGCATCCTATAGGAGAGACTGTTCGAGCCCTGGCTGCTCCACTTCCAGTCCAGCTCCTCCCTATTGTGCCTGGGAAAGCAGAAGATGACCCGGCCCCTCTTCCATCCATGTGGGAAACCCAAATGGAGTTCCAGGCTCCTCGCTTCTGCCTGGCTCACTCTCACTCCAGCCCCCATGGCTGCAGCCCTGTGGGGAGTGAACCAGTGGATGGAAGACCTCTCTCCCCTCTCTCTCTGTAGCTCTTTCAAACAGATAAACAAATAATGAGCACTCAGTAACTCGGTCTTCTCCACAGACTGCACACAGGGCACTTCAAAAGGTTCATGGAAAATGGAATTAAAGGATCAGTTTCCATGAGTGCAAAAAAAGTTTGAATTCATGCATACGAGGAATCTTCCAAAAGTTCACTGAAAATGCACATATGAAAAATGATGCCTGCATTTCAGATTTTTTGCACCTAAATAAACAGATTTTTAATTCAATTTTCCACGAACATTTCGGAGTTCCCAGGTACTGCTGCCTTCCCAGGTGGGGAAGAGGTGGGCACAGTCCCATGGCCTCAAGAACTTCAGCTACAAGCTCTCAGAATCAGGAACAAAGGGAAGAACGATTTGTTTGTTCGTCCTGTTCCCCCCAAAAAGCGGAGAAGGGTGGCCAAGCAGGTGTTAGGCCAGAGGCAGGGCCGTGAGCGGCAAACCCAACTGCCTGGCTGTGCGGCCCCGGCCAGGCCGGCACCCTCTCTGGTGAGAAGCTGAGAAGCGAAGGCAGGAAGGGGCAGGGTTGGCGGGGGCAGGGGGCCACGGTGAGCCGCATCCGGGAGCCAGGCGACGCTGATTCAGGGGATTGCCAGTGGCGGCAGCGGG